TTACTCAGGGACAGACACAGAATTGTTACTCAGGGACAGACACAGAATTGTTACTGAGGGACACAGAATTGTTACTCAGGGACAGACACAGAATTGTTACTCATGGACAGACACAGAATTGTTACTCAGGGACAGACACAGAATTGTTACTGAGGGACACAGAATTGTTACTCAGGGACAGACACAGAATTGTTACTCAGGGACAGACACAGAATTGTTACTCAGGGACAGACACAGAATTGTTACTGAGGGACACAGAATTGTTACTCAGGGAAAGACACAGAATTGTTACTCAGGGACAGACACAGAATTGTTACTCAGGGACAGACACAGAATTGTTACTCAGGGACAGACACAGAATTGTTACTCAGGGACACAGAATTGTTACTGAACAGAATTGTTACTGAGGGACACAGAATTGTTACTGAGGGACACAGAATTGTTACTGAGGGACAGACACAGAATTGTTACTCAGGGACCGAGACACAGAATTGTTACTGAGGGACACAGAATTGTTACTGAGGGACACAGAATTGTTACTGAGGGGACACAGAATTGTTACTCAGGGACAGACACAGAATTGTTACTCAGGGACAGACACAGAATTGTTACTCAGGGACAGACACAGAATTGTTACTGAGGGACACAGAATTGTTACTCAGGGACACAGAATTGTTACTGAGGGACACAGAATTGTTCTCAGGGACAGACACAGATTGTTACTCAGGGACAGACACAGAATTGTTACTCAGGGACAGACACAGAATTGTTACTGAGGGACACAGAATTGTTACTGAGGGACACAGAATTGTTACTCAGGGACAGACACAGAATTGTTACTCAAGGACAGACACAGAATTGTTACTCAGGGACAGACACAGAATTGTTACTGAGGGACAGACACAGAATTGTTACTGAGGGACACAGAATTGTTACTGAGGGACACAGAATTGTTACTGAGGGACAGACACAGAATTGTTACTCAGGGACAGACACAGAATTGTTACTCAGGGACAGACACAGAATTGTTACTCAGGGACACAGAATTGTTACTGAGGGACACAGAATTGTTACTGAGGGACAGACACAGAATTGTTACTCAGGGACAGACACAGAATTGTTACTGGGACACAGAATTGTTACTGAGGGACACAGAATTGTTACTCAGGGACAGACACAGAATTGTTACTGAGGGACACAGAATTGTTACTGAGGGACACAGAATGTTACTCAGGGACAGACACAGAATTGTTACTCAGGGATAGACACAGAATTGTTACTGAGGGACACAGAATTGTTACTCAGGGACAGACACAGAATTGTTACTCAGGGACAGACACAGAATTGTTACTCAGGGACACAGAATTGTTACTCAGGGACAAAGAATTGTTACTCAGGACACAGAATTGTTACTGAGGGACACGGAATTGTTACTCAGGGGACAGACACAGAATTGTTACTCAGGGACAGACACAGAATTGTTACTGAGGGACACAGAATTGTTACTGAGGGACACAGAATTGTTACTCAGGGACAGACACAGAATTGTTACTGAGGGACACAGAATTGTTACTGAGGGACAGGACACAGAATTGTTACTCAGGGACAGACACAGAATTGTTACTGAGGGACACAGAATTGTTACTGAGGGACACAGAATTGTTACTGAGGGAGACACAGAATTGTTACTGAGGGACAGACACAGAATTGTTACTGAGGGACAGACACAGAATTGTTACTCAGGGACAGACACAAATTGTTACTGAGGGACAGACACAGAATTGTTACTGAGGGACACAGAATTGTTACTGAGGGACACAGAATTGTTACTGAGGGACAGACACAGAATTGTTACTGAGGGACAGACACAGAATTGTTACTGAGAGACAGACACAGAATTGTTACTCAGGGACACAGAATTGTTACTGAGGGACACAGAATTGTTACTGAGGGACAGACACAGAATTGTTACTCAGGGACAGACACAGAATTGTTACTCAGGGACAGACACAGAATTGTTACTGAGGGACACAGAATTGTTACTGAGGGACACAGAATTGGTTACTGAGGGACACAGAATTGTTACTCAGGGACAGACACAGAATTGTTACTCAGGGACAGACACAGAATTGTTACTCAGGGACAGACACAGAATTGTTACTCAGGGACAGACACAGAATTGTTACTGAGGGTCAGGGACAGTACATGTCATTTACGGCCCACTGGGTGAACGTGGTGCCGGCACAGCCGCACCAGCAACTTGGACAGGTCACGCCGCTTTTTTGCCTCCACGTTTGCACGTCCTTGGTCCACAAAAGATGTCCGCCTCTACCACCTCTTCTTCCGCCGTGTTCCTCAGCCGCCACCCCCGTGCCAAGTCCCATTACCCGACCGGCATATCACATGTGCAGGGCGCAACGGTGTCACACTGTGCTGCACCTGGTTATGCCTTGGCGAACGTAGTCACACAGGGGAGGAACTTCTGAGTGTAATGAACAGAGAAATCGACAGATGGCTGTCTCCGCGCAAACTGAAAATCGGAACCATGTTGACCGACAACGGAAAGAACATGGTGTCTGCTCTGCGTCAAGGAAGGTTGTGCCATGCGCCATGCATGGCTCACGTGTTCAATCTGGTTGTCAAGCGGTTCCTAAAATCCACCATCCCCACTGCAAGACATCATTAAAAATGTCACGTAAACTTTGCATGCATTTCAGCCATTCCTACACCGCAAAGCACACCCTCCTTGAGCTGCAGCGGCAGAACGGAATTCCACAGCATCGCCTGTTCTGCGACGTTGCAACAAGGTGGAATTCAACCCTACATATGTTAGACCGCCTTTACGAACAGCGAAAGGCCATCACCGATTTCCTGATGTTACAAGCGGATAAAGGTACTCCCCTGTGTAACACCTGCAGCTTGCTCAGGCCCTTTGAGGAGGCCACGCTATTCGTGAGTCGGCAGGACTATGGGATGAACGACGTCATTCCTCTGTTGCACGTCCTGGAACAAATGCTGTTAACAATGGCTGGTCAGGGTGCGGTAGACGTGGCGCACAGATCTCAACGCCCACATGACCCCTGTGGGGGCAGGACAGGAAGAAGAGAGGAGGTAGAGGAGGACATTTGTGCTCAGGAATTATTGAGTGAAATGGGTGGTTTTTTTCCACTCAGCGGACAGGAGTGGAGGAGCAGGAGCATCTGGTAGAGGAGGAGGAGGAGGAGACAGAGGACCCAGACGCACCGTGGCAGTATGCTATGGAGATGGAGGCAGGGAGTCCCTCTCATTCCTTGGCACAAATGGCCCATAGCATGCTCGGTTGCTTGCGTAGCGACAGCCGAATAATAACCATCAGACAGAGGGATGACTTTTGGCTGTCCACCTTGTTGGACCCTCGCTACCGTTCAAAAATGGTGGCCTTTTTCACACCTGCTGAGAGGGAGGCCAAAATAAAGTACTATAAAAACCACCTATGTAGTCAGTTGGTCTCTGCCTTTCTGCGCCAATGTCCATCCTCAGACACTGTGGGCCCTGTGCGCTCGCGTTCCGCTGCCATGGCAGCAGGGGAGGGGTGGGGTGGTAGGAGCAGTGGCAGCTCCACCAGCAGCGGCTGCCTCAGTCTGCAGTCGATGATGAGTAGCTTTCTTCACCAGCGCAGTGAGGAAACTACTAACCAGCCGCAGCAGCAGCAGCATCAGGTGGACCTGGAGCAGGACCTCAAACAACAGGCTTGGGCCTACTTGGACGCACCCTGCCAACCGAGGTAGACAATCCCCTTGACTACTGGGCAACGAAACTTGACCTTTGGCCCCAACTAGCTGAATTTGCCCTTGAAAGGCTGTCATGCCCGGCCAGTAGCGTGGCATCGGAGCGCGTGTTTAGTGCGGCAGGAGGTATTGTAACTCCGCGGAGGACAAGACTGTCCACCCAAAGTGTGGAGAGACTCACGTTTGTGAAAATGAATCAGGCGTGGATTAGTCTGGATTTCAAACCACCAGTTCCTGACACAACTGACTAAATCCGCCATGAATCATGCCCCAAACATGTGCCACTTTCAGGTCTCCTCACACTGCTGGTGTGTTCCATTTTTCGTCATAGGGTGCTGGCAGATTACGGGCCTCCCATTGCTGCTGCCAGGCCCGTAATCTGCCATGGGCCCCCGTACCGCCTCCTCATGCTGCTGCCAGGTCCAGAGTGTCTCATGGGTCCCTGTACGGCCTCCCATTGCTGCTGTCTCCATCGCCACACTCTGCCATGTGCCACTTTCAGGTCTCCTCACACTGCTGGTGTGTTCCATTTTGTCATAGGGTGCTGGCAGATTACGGGCCTCCCATTGCTGCTGCCAGGCCCTAATCTGCCATGGGCCCCCCTGTACCGCCTCCTCATGCTGCTGCCAGGTCCAGAGTCTCTCATGGGTCCCTTTACGGCCTCCCATTGCTGCTGTCTCCATCGCCACACTCTGCCATGTGCCACTTTCAGGTCTCCTCACACTGCTGGTGTGTTCCATTTTGTCATAGGGTGCTGGCAGATTACGGGCCTCCCATTGCTGCTGCCAGGCCCGTAATCTGCCATGGGCCCCCTGTACCGCCTCTCTCATGCTGCTGCCAGGTCCAGAGTCTCTCATGGGTCCCTGTACGGCCTCCCATTGCTGCTGTCTCCATCGCCACACTCTGCCATGTGCCACTTTCAGGTCTCCTCACACTGCTGGTGTGTTCCATTTTGTCATAGGGTGCTGGCAGATTACGGCCTCCCCATTGCTGCTGCCAGGCCCCGTAATCTGCCATGGGCCCCTGTACCCCCGCCTCCTCATGCTGCTGCCAGCCAGGTCCAGAGTGTCTCATGGGTCCCTGTACGGCCTCCCATTGCTGCTGTCTCCATCGCCACACTCTGCCATGTGCCACTTTCAGGTCTCCTCACACTGCTGGTGGGTTCCATTTTTTGTCATAGGGTGCTGGCAGATTACGGGCCTCCCATTGCTGCTGCCAGGCCCGTAATCTGCCATGGGCCCCTGTACCGCCTCCTCATGCTGCTGCCAGGTCCAGAGTGTCTCATGGGTCCCTGTACGGCCTCCCATTGCTGCTGTCTCCATCGCCACACTCTGCCATGTGCCACTTTTCAGGTCTCCTCACACTGCTGGTGTGTTCCATTTTGTCATAGGGTGCTGGCAGATTACGGGCCTCCCATTGCTGCTGCCAGGCCCGTAATCTGCCATGGGCCCCCGTACCGCCTCCTCATGCTGCTGCCAGGTCCAGAGTCTCTCATGGGTCCCTGTACGGCCTCCCATTGCTGCTGTCTCCATCGCCACACTCTGCCATGTGCCACTTTCAGGTCTCCTCACACTGCTGGTGTGTTCCATTTTTTGTCATAGGGTGCTGGCAGATTACGGGCCTCCCATTGCTGCTGCCAGGCCCGTAAATCTGCCATGGGCCCCTGTACCGCCTCCTCATGCTGCTGCCAGGTCCAGAGTGTCTCATGGGTCCCTGTACGGCCTCCCATTGCTGCTGTCTCCATCGCCACACTCTGCCATGTGCCACTTTCAGGTCTCCTCACACTGCTGGTGTGTTCCATTTTGTCATAGGGTGCTGGCAGATTACGGGCCTCCCATTGCTGCTGCCAGGCCCGTAATCTGCCATGGGCCCCTGTACCGCCTCCTCATGCTGCTGCCAGGTCCAGAGTGTCTCATGGGTCCCTGTACCTGTACGGCCTCCATTGCTGCTGTCTCCATCGCCACACTCTGCCATGTGCCACTTTCAGGTCTCCTCACACTGCTGGTGTGTTCCATTTTGTCATAGGGTGCTGGCAGATTACGGGCCTCCCATTGCTGCTGCCAGGCCCGTAAATCTGCCATGGGCCCCTGTACCGCCTCGGCTCATGCTGCTGCCAGGTCCACAGAGTGTCTCATGGGTCCCTGTACGGCCTCCCATTGATTGCTGCTGTCTCCATCGCCACACTCTGCCATGTGCCACTTTCAGGTCTCCTCACACTGCTGCTGTGTGTTCCATTTTTTGTCATAGGGTGCTGGCAGATTACGGGCCTCCCATTGCTGCTGCCAGGCCTGTAATCTGCCATGGGCCCCTGTACCGCCTCCTCATGCTGCTGCCAGGTCCAGAGTGTCTCATGGGTCCCTGTACGGCCTCCCATTGCTGCTGTCTCCATCGCCACACTCTGCCATGTGCCACTTTCAGGTCTCCTCACACTGCTGGTGTGTTCCATTTTTTCATAGGGTGCTGGCAGATTACGGGCCTCCCATTGCTGCTGCCAGGCCCGTAATCTGCATGGGCCCCTGTACCGCCTCCTCATGCTGCTGCCAGGTCCAGAGTGTCTCATGGGTCCCTGTACGGCCTCCATTGCTGCTGTCTCCATCGCCACACTCTGCCATGTGCCACTTTCAGGTCTCCTCACACTGCTGGTGGGTTCCATTTTGTCATAGGGTGCTGGCAGATTACGGGCCTCCCATTGCTGCTGCCAGGCCCGTAATCTGCCATGGGCCCCCGTACCGCCTCATCATGCTGCTGCCAGGTCCAAGGTGGAATTCATGGGTCCCTACATATGGCCTCCCATTGCTGCTGTCTCCATCGACACAGCCGAAATGTGCCACTTTCAGGTTCCTCACACTGCTGGTGTGGTTCCATTTTGTCGATAGGGTGCTGGCAGATTATGGCCTCCCATTGCTGCTGCTACAGGCCCCTGTAATCTGGCGGCCCCCTGTACCGCCTCTTCATGCTGCTGCCAGGGTAGAGGAGTGGTCTCATGGGTCTCCTTACGGAGTCCCATTGCTGCTGTCGTCCTGGCCACACACTCTGCCATGTGCCACTTTCAGGTGGAAAGGACACTGCTGGTGTGTTCCATTTTGTCATAGGGTGTGGCAGATTACGGGCCTCCCATTGCTGCTGCAGGGCCCGTAATCTCCCATGGGCCACAGGACCCGCCTGGCACATGGCAGGACAGGTCCATAGAGGAGGAGGTTATATTGCTGGCTCCAGGACACTGGTGCTCAGGCCAATTATTGAGGTCGAAGCACGAATGGGTGTGTTTTTCCATCAGTCAGCGGACTGGCAGATTTTGGCTGGAGCATCTGCTAGAGGACCCTCACTAGGAGACAGGGAACCCAACGGTGGCCGCTGGCAGTCATGCTGCTGAGATGGAGGGGAAAAAACGTCTCTAATGGGTCCCCTATGTAGTCAGTGCCTCCCATGCTCGCTGCTTGGTCCCATCGCCACACTCTCAGACAGAGGGGTGTGGCTGTCCACTTTGGTCTCCTCACACCGTTGCAAAAAATGGTGGCTTTTTCACACCTGCTGATGAGGGTGCTGGCAGATTAGTCGGGCTCTGCTCCAGCATCCCAAAGTTGCTGCTGCAGGCTCCTCAGACCATGGGCCTGTGCGCTCAGCCCGCTTCATGCAGGGGAGGGGTGGAGGTGGTAGGAGCAGTGGCACTCCACCAGCACCGGCTGCCTCAGTCTGCAGTCGATGATGAGGAAACTACTAACCAACAACAGCAGCATCAGGTGGACCTGGAGCAGGACCTCAAACAACAGGCTTGGGCCTACTTGGACAGCACCCTGCCAACCGAGGTAGACAATCCCTTGACTACTGGGCAACGAAACTTGACCTTTGGCTCCAACTAGCTGAATTTGCCCCCTTGAAAGGCTGTCATGCCCGGCCAGTAGCGTGGCATCGGAGCGCGTGTTTAGTGTGGCAGGAGGTATTGTAACTCCGCGGAGGACACGAGGTGTCCACACCAAAGTGTGGAGAGACATGACGTTTGTGAAAATGAATCGGGCGTGGATTAGTCTGGATTTCAAACCACCAGTTCCTGCTGCTGCCAGGTCGAGTCTGGACTCATCCCTCAGTACGGCTGGACCAATGACTAAATCCGCATGAATCATGCACCAAACATGTGCCACTTTCAGGTCTCCTCACAATGCTGGGTGTGTTCCATTTTTGTCATAGGGTGCTGGCAGATTACGGGCCTCCCATTGCTGCTGCCAGGCCCGTAATCTGCCATGGGCCCCCGTACCGCCTCCTCATGCTGCTGCCAGGTCCAGAGTGTCTCATGGGTCCCTGTACGGCCTCCCATTGCTGCTGTCTCCATCGCCACACTCTGCCATGTGCCACTTTCAGGTCTCCTCACACTGCTGGTGGGTTCCATTTTTGTCATAGGGTGCTGTATGGCCTCCCATTGCTGCTGCCTCCACCGCCACACTGTGGCTCCACACTCTGGTTTTGGCCCCGTGACTGCCCAAATGAGTGAAGTGTGCGGTGATTCTAAGATCGACGGCACTCATCTGCATGTCATACTGACTGACAGTATTATTTCTCTTCCCCAGCAGACTCCAAGGGCATTTATAAATTAAAGGTACAGTGTTCTGCACTAATATGAAGGCCGTTATAAAAAGGACAGCTGGACAAACATTCGAGACAGTTGGTCAGCTTCGCTAAAGAACTCTTCCCTGCTGACCATGAAGACCCTGCTGAAAGAAATACTGGAGCAGGTGGAGGGCAGCAGCGGTGAAGACTGGCTGTGCTGTTGTTTGGCGCTAGGCATAAAGGATGGAGGGGACCGTCGGTGAGATGAAGAAGGAAGAACTGGAGATGCTGAATCTGTGGACCTACCGTGTCCGTGGCCTCCTTCATCGATAACTCTAGTGTTGTCAGTTAACCACCACTATATACATATGGCCCCCACAGCGAAGAAGGATCATGAACACCAGGCCTGGGGGAGGACCCTCGCCAATGTGATTCTGAGCAAGATGTCATCATGCCAGAGGTGAACTCAAGTCACCTGTGAAGAGAAGAGGTGGGCAGTGCTCGGGAGCTTCCTCAGCCCACCCTCCCAGTAGTTGCTGGGCAACAGGATAGCATTGCCACTCCAGAGAAGCAGCTACAAGTCATTTTTAACAATTTAACACTGGCAATGATGGATGACGCTGGCCCCCCAGCTCCTATAACTGTGGTGGTATCTACTATACAGGACACTTTATCAACAGCTGTGGATTCTCTGATTATAACACTGTTAAGGATGCCTCAGGGTGAGTCTAATATTACTATGTTAACGATCTGGTTTGTTCCTTATCAAAACTGGTGCAGAATATATCTCATGCTTCTGACAATATTGGGTGTAATGCACTACATCATCCTGCTAGTAGTAATAATATACCTAAAATTTGTTTCAAATAGTCTATGCCATGTGAGCTCTCTTTTCTTGGTTATAATTTATCTGCTTCTTTAAAAGAAAAAATTTGTAAAGGGCGATTTTGTAGATTTATTAAATCTCCTTCCTTCTGCAAATGAATTTACTTATCCGAGGACACATTGAATGATAATAGGTGTGGGTCTATTCCTTGTTCAATATTTAATTGGCTGCAACAGTATTTTATTTTCTCCAGTGTCATGGCTGAAAAGCACCCCAAACTATATGGGGGCCATTTTCAATATCTGGATCATGTGCTAGAAGCTTATAAGAGCTTTGGTGGCTTTGGTTGGTTTCAATATGATGAATTATTTCGTCATAAATTGGCTATACATCCTTCTTTAAAATGGGGTATGAAGGATGTGGGACTGTGGCTTAATTTCCCCTCAGAGGCCTATTCCTAACATAAAATCACCTACATTTCCTCTGGCCTCTGCGTATCATAAGGGAGTTTGTTTTGCATATAATGAATTACAATGAAGATTAATTCCTCTGGTTCTACACAGAAGGAAATCCTGCACAACATAGAGGCTGGAAAAAATGTGCCTGTGGCTGGAACAGTACCCAGACCAGGTGAAGGCACCCTTGCTCATTAATGGTTTTGAAGCAGGTTTTCCTCTTTCCTCTTTTGGGGTTGTGGGTTGTATTTTAGTTGATAATCTAGTTTTCCAGAGTTGTCTGAGAGAAAATTTTGAAAGAAATTGCTGCGCACCGTATTGTGGGTCCTTTTTTTATCCTCCTTTTCTAAATTTTAGGGTCTCCTCTATGGATCTAGTGCCAAAAAAAGAACCAAATTCTTTCCAGCTTATACACCATCTTTTGTTTCCAAAAGGCAATTCTTTGAATGATGATAATGACAATACTTTATATTCGGTGTCTTATTTTTTACTTTTGAGGAAGCAATTTCTATGATTAGATCTTTTGGTGAAGGAGCTTTATTGGCAAAAGCTGATATTAAGTCTGTTTTCCACCTTTTGCTTATAGACCCAGCTGTTTTTAATTCTTTAGGATATAATTTTTTCAACAAATGTCTCCCAATGGATTGTTCTTTATCCTGTGCTTATGTTTACATTTTTTTCTTCATTTGTTAATTGGGTGGTATGTTTTGAGTTTGGATGTCCTGGTATTCTTCATTGCCTGGATTATTTTTTTGTTCATAGGTGCCCCTGACTCCAATATGTGTTATTTTTTATTGCGTCTGTTTTTTTATATAGCTGAATATTTTGGGATACCTTTAGCAGATGAGAAGATGGTCCTTCCTATGGTCTGTTTAAAATTTTTAGAAATCCTTATTGATACATCAGTAATGGAATTTAGGCTGCCCTTGTCAAAAGTTTCTAGGCTACAGTCCTTGATAGCTTTCTTTCTTTGCAAAAAAAAGTATTGTTAAAAGAAATTTAATCTCTGTTGGGTCTTTTGGCATTTGCGCATCGTATCATGCTGGTGGATCATGTTTTTTCAAGGCAATTATATCTTTCCGTATCAGGCTTAAAATCCCCATTTTCTCATATTAGACTTTCTAGCTCACTCAAAGAGGACCTCATGGTCTGGTCAAAATTTGATGATTTTAATGTTTGTTTGTTTTTTTTAGGATGAATTTATTGCTGCAGATGACTCTCAGTTTTTTACGGATGCTGTGGGCTCCACAGGATTTGCTGCTGTTTGGCACACACACTGGTGCTGTGGAATGTGGCCGACAAGAAAGCTACTAAGAATATTGTCTTATTGGAGCTGTTTCCTGTGGTTGTAGCAGTAGAGCTATGGGATTCATTGTTCACAAACAAGCACATTCTTCTACACAGTGATAATAAAAGTGTACTTTTTGTGATTAATTGTCTTTCTTCCAAACCTTTGCTTGTTATCACATTATTTCTCCATCTGGTTTTTGTGTTTACATTATAATATTTGATTAAAAGCCAAGTTTACCCCAAGAGTTTTTAATAATGATGACTCACTATCTTGCTTACACATGTCTAGGTTTCACAGACTTTTTCCCAGCGCTGATGTAGAGGGTCATGTATGTCTGGCTAACTTGTGGGGCCCAATCTGAATACTGATTTTTGAGTCATCAAGAATTTGGTTGCTCTACATACCTGGGTTGCTTATTCCTTGTCTTGGTTACGTTGGGTATCTTTTTGTAGACAAGGAAGTTTTGTTTTGAATGTACCTACCGAACTTTCTGGTTTTTCATTTGTAGCTTCCCTTAAGCAACTTCATATTTCATATAGTCACTTAGTTAAGGCTTTGTTGGGAGTTTCCTTTTTCTTTTGATTGTGAGGGCTCCCGGCCTGTACAGAATTTTTTATGGTAAAACAAGTGTTGAAAGGGTGCAAGAAAACACATTTTGTCATTTTAGTCACTAGACATCCTATTTTTAAGGATCTTTTAGTTCATCTGTGTAATGTCCTTGGTATGTTCTTCCAACTATGAGTTTGTATTGTTTCACAAGGCTTTTGTGGCTACATTTTTGGAGCACTGAGAATATCTGAATTAGTGCCACAGAATAAACATAGTAGCTCTGGTTTTTTGTTCTTTTAGATACTTTGGTATTACTTGTATTTATATACCGCTCAGAAACTGACCAACTAGAAAGGGGTATTGGATTAAGATTTTACCAGATGAAGCGCAGAGTATTTTTCCTATCAGCGTGATCTGACACTACCTTTCTATCCGTATTTCGTTTAGGGACCTTCTGTTTATTCATTTAAACAAATCTGCCCTTATATCAATTTAATTTTGTCTTAAATGTTTTACTTCTCTTGGTTTGCAGCATTTCAAATTCACATCTCACTCTTTCCGGATTGGGGTGGCATCTGAATCTTCCAGGATGGGATTGTCAGATGATGATATCACAAAATTGGGTAGGTGGGATTCTAAACGTTTTCAGGTTTATGTCTGCCCTAACTTTTTTTTATTTTTAGGTCATACATATTGTGTATGGATCGTGGGGCACTCCTATGTTTATTGGGTGCAGAAGAGAGCAGCTCAAAGAAGGTACTCTAAGAATTTGTCAATAGACCTATCAACTATTTCTGTAATCTAGAAAGGTGTTTGGGGTCTACAATGGTGTAAATAGTTTTTTACTTTAGCACAATTGTTTCAAACATGGCCTCCTCTACATATTTTGATCATCCACCTTGGAGGCAATGATATAGGTAGAATGAGGACTTTGGAACTTTTGTTGAAAATAAAATAACTTGTATAGGTTTAAAATGTCTTCCCCAAATACTACGGTGACATTTTTGCCTTCCATGGGTGTTTTTTTTTTATCTCCACCTTGATCTGGAAGGTGGTATTCCTGGCCTTTATATGCAAGATGGAATCCACCTTTCTGATGTGAGTCTGGGTATCTTTAATTTAGGATTGCAATCTTGTATTGAGAAGGCCACAGTTATGGGGTGGGCTGCACTTGTTTTTTGAACAAGTTGCGGACATTTATTGAAAAAACTGTTATTTATTCTCGAAAAAGAGCTCCCCTTCCTCCTGCCCATCACAGGCACTTTATGTGTTTTTTCAAAAACCTTGGATCCTGGGGGGGGGGGGGCATTTATTTCAAAAAACTGTTTATTTATTCTCAAGTTATGATAACTGAGATAAAGTTCTGCTATGTATATTTATGAAATATTTACTATAAGTAATAAAGTAAATCTTTATTTGTTTATTACATTTTACAAATTTGTAAACCAATAAAGTGCCATGGCCATTTTCATGCTTTAATAAAATTTTTAAAGTGTATTCATTTGTTTTATTTATTTTGTTAAGATTGTTGGGTTCTTTTTTGGTGTTTTTTGTGTGTGGTCTACAATCCCATGCATTGTGTGCATTAAAAAAAAGATCATTCTATAATGGCTGCTGTGCCAAGCTGTGGTTAATGTGCAGAGGGAAAGTCCTCCTGCTCCATGTACTTGTGCAGTAACATATAAATTATTTATTAATGCTCTATTGCTTTCCCTGAAAGGACGATTTAAGATTGATGTAAGGTTACCATCTCTGTATGCCCGTTTGTCCCCATGGGGGGTTGGGGATCCTGCAGGAAAATTTTCTTGATCAGCAAACTCTCAAAGAGAATAAAAAACTTCAAGCTTGCCCACCTGACACTGATTGGAGAAAGGGGGGGACTTATAGTAGGGAAGTGTATGTCTGTCTGCCCCATCTGTATGATCACTACCTGAACGTCTCTTCATCTTGTT